TTTGACATTGAAACGTTGATTTTACATTATACCCATATTTTGAAGACTGGATGTTTCCTGTGCTTACCTTAAGCTGAGGTTAGCTTAGTTTAGCTGAGGTTAAAAGATGGGCTTGTAAAACTTTGTCTCATTACAACTTTCTAACTTGCCAGCAACACTTTATAAGGTTACACATCTCACTGGTGTTACAACACACACAAAATTAATTTTCAAAAAAGCAGGCTGCTTCTTGTGTCCAGTAGGTGCTTTGTTTTTTTTGTGACAAACGTTTTTGTATCCATAGATGCTGAAGTTTTGAATGAGGATGTCTTGGGGAAAGCAGTTTTTTTTCTTTTGTTTTTATTTTTAAAAGGGGAAATGACCCGCAAACCTACTGAGAACTGATTTAAACAAGCAATCTAATTTACGATAAACCAAACTTTTCACTTGAAGTACACGGTTAATTGAGCGCAGTAAGAGTTTTTTTTCCCACTGACGCACGTTGTTTATTTGCCATGAATGCCACATCAGCAGCATCTGCTTTTTATTAGCATTAGCGCACAATGATACAATTATGATTCATACTCCTCCTATAACAGTGTCCATACATTATACATCATGCTTAGTCTTGGGTTTTTCTGCTATTTTAAGAAGAAAAATAAATGTTTTACTACGGTTTATTTATGTTTATTATCCCTGTTTTATCTAAAGGCATATAACTGGACGTTAGTAACCAATGAAATGAAATATAAAAATAGCATTTCTGTGGGAAACGTTTGCTTTGCTGTGTCATTATGGACAAGAAAGTGAAACCTTATTAGTTATTTTGTGAATAGTAAATATAAAGTGTGCATGGACAAAAGTAACCAATAGGCGGTACTGTGCACTGTGCCATTCTTCATGGAGCTTTCTCCATCTCCAGCCCTGAGGACAACAACGTATCTCTGCCTTGGTTTGCTCCCTAATTGACCTAAATACACCATCTCTGCGGTCCCTCAAGGCAGACTATCGCACAGCCCACACGAGAGCATACAAACTACGAGACCGTGTCCGGGTATTTCCTGGAGTAATTCCTCTTCGCCTTTTGCCCTCAGCTCAAACCCGAAACGAATTTGCTTTGTGTATCTCTCGTAACTGTAGCAGGCTGTCCTCACATGGACTGCGTCGGGATGGTCTGCGCGCAGAAGACTCGTCTGGCCCGAGATAAGACGCCTTCCCAGGAATGACAGTATAAAATTTACGTCTGGTGGATTTTAAAAGGGGTTTTTTTGTAACTGGCGGAGTCATAAAGTCATCATGCTGGATGATAAAACACCGAGACTGAAATCCGGTCCTCCATCGAGAGGTTCATCTTTTTACATTGAGAATTTGCTGGGAACTACAGGAAGACGTTCTTCAGCCGAGGAGCGAGCGGAGACTCCGAGCTTCAAACTTACTGGTCACGACCCGGGGATGTGTCCGGGTCTGAAAACGAGACGTCTGAGCGACACTGACAGGTCGGACGGGAGCGGAACATTTGCAAACACAGCGAATGGCTGCTCGAGAAGTGAGTTTGCTCCTGACCGTCCTTTTCGTCCCATCGAAAAGGTTACTGAAAATAACAAATGTTCGTTTTTGTTTCGACGATTTGTTCCTTGTTTGTCGCTTACAAGAGTCGGGTTAAATATATATAACTCATTTTATTATTAATAAACAAACATCACACAAACCCCCACATCTAACATTTATGATTTATGCATCTCGCTTTGGGGTCTCAATGGGGCAAAAGTGGACATGACACATGGTCAGGGTTCACTCTCCGATTATCAGCCGTGTAGAAGCCAACAGGATTTGGCATCCACACAACGATCTCACAACAATCTCCCTCTTGTTCTTTAAATAGACCCGCAGCGAAGAGCTGATGCGTATTTATAATCTTGGAGAGGACAGACAGCATGAATGCGAGCAATTCCCTGCTGTGCACAAATCTGACAGTGTGTAGGATGATTTAAAGTAACTTTTTTTTTCTTTTTTCACGACATCCTTTGCAGGGCTTCTTTGCAAAACCAGCCGCTCGCACGAACACGTAGACCCCGTGCTAAACAGCGAACGGGATTCCCCAACTTTAACGGGAAAGGCGGAGGAGAATGACAAACCGGCCGAGAAGGAAGGCGACAGATGTCTGACAGATGAGAAGGAAGAGGAAGACACGCGCTCCTCTTGCGTCTCTCTCGGGGACAGCTGTGACACAGGTGAGCTCAAAGTACACGTAATTCATTAAAAAGATACACAAAAAACCCAAATAATGTCTTGTGCTCTGCTATAAGCACGCATGCGTGTTCGAGTACACACTCACTCAAGCGGAATTTTTTTTTTTCGATTTTAAAAAAGCAGCATTTGCGGAGCTTCTTGGTTAGGTTAGCATTGGTTAGCATTTTCTTTCCGATAAGGTGCATTGACAGCAGCAGTGACCCAAGTTTTCAAAAGTTCGCATTAGAGAGCAGGGGTGCAGTTAGCATTTCTTGGGTCTGAGGGCCATACCCTGCTCTGCCTGTTACAGCAGAAGAGGGTAACATGTTTTATTTGATTTGCTTTTTATTTTGTTGTAGAAATTAGATAAAAGCAAAGGATGATACATTTAGTAACTGAATGGAGACATTAAAATAAAAATATTAAACTTTATATCTAAATGCTATATGAACATTAAATTAGCATAAATATTGCAAATTGCTTAATAGCACCGCATAGTTCATTGTATTACATAGCAGTACTGCCTATTTGGAGATATTCACCTGGAGACTTGTTAGCATGAATTTGATCAATTAACAGCTACATGGTCTGTAAATGCAACACTAGAAATATATATAACATTTTTACTGCTGCAATGTGTGTTAAGAAACTTTTAAATGAAGACACTGCTTCTTCTTGGCCTCAGGTGACATCACAGTGGTGCGAAAGAAGAAGACGCGCACTGTGTTCAGCCGAAGCCAGGTGTTCCAGCTGGAGTCCACCTTCGACCTGAAGCGTTACCTGAGCAGCTCGGAGCGAGCTGGGCTGGCTGCGTCGCTGCAGCTCACCGAGACCCAAGTAAAGATCTGGTTCCAAAATCGCAGGAACAAGTGGAAACGGCAGATCACGGCAGATATAGAAGCCAGCAGCACCACTGCACCGTACGCCGCCCAGAGGGTGGTTAGAGTTCCCGTGTTGTATCGCGAGAGCGTCACTACCCCCCTGACACTGACAAACCTGCCCCACGTGTCACATCCAGTAGTTGGCTTCTCTAACTCTGTTAACTATCCGCTGTCTGGCCACTTCACCCATCCGGTGTCATTCATAACGCCACAGATGACCGGGCTGGTGTGACTTAAAGAGTGGAAGAGATCTCGTATACCTGTGACTCACATGAATCAAATAATGATGCTGCAAAATGTTCATGTTAGAATATTCAGTAAAGTTCATCCCTGCAGTGCACTGAGCATTGTCATCCTCTGCTGAAATGTTTCCTTTGGATGTTTTCTGGAAGTAAGTTAGACAAATACAAGCAAATTTAGATCAAGGTGCCCGTGTTTACTTTCAGCATTAAACTTCCTCATCATTAGCAGAACCTTTATCAATTTATTGTAAGCAAAGGTCATTTTTTTAAGATTTAGTACCAAATTTAGCACTACCAGGAATAAATTAGTATTACTAGAAATATGGAAATTGTGATGGATATTTTTGGACCATTCAAGCTGCCCACCATCCTCCTTTGTGCTTTACTGAGGACATTTCACACACATAGTCACACAGTTTCCAACTAAAGCTTTATTTTGCGATGATTTCTGTCACTGGAAAATATAGGGGTCCACGTACTTGGAAGAGCCAATATGTTTATGGCGTGTAAAGCGATGTAAAAAAAAAATTAAAACAAAGAAAAAGATACTTTGGGAATTCATTAATTTGTAAATGTATAAGAAAAATCTGGAAATGAAAACACAAATTACTGTAAACAATCAGGTTACACATAGAAAAATCATCTGAGGACAAAAATCAGGACCAAAAGTTCATTTTTGTATATTTTTTCTATACTTTATGCTTTCAACTTATATTCACATGCTACAGAAAAAGTTTTTCTTTGCACTGCTGAGTTTCCCATCACACTCATCTTCTCACGTGGCTTTAGACTGTTCAATTCTTTCTGAAATTTGAACCCACACACGTGACCTATGAGTGCTAAAATGTAGCTCATTTATGAAATAAAAGCCAGTATGGTGTTTGTGATATTGTGACTTTTGATAGCTGTTAGCAGGGGTAGGCTATTAGCAACACTGATTGACTGACACTTTTGTTTTTTGTTGTTAATTTAAGATGATTTTAATACAGAGTTTTGTACACTTCTATGTTCACATGTGAATAAAATTTTATGCACAAGGCGTTTCGTGGTTTCTTTCCTGTTTCTTGGCCATCAGCTGTTTATTTGGCATCTTTATTTGGAATTTAGGTTGTATGTGGGTTTCAAAATGTAAAAAAAACCCAACTTATATATGCCCAAGGGGCAATTAAGAAAGAAAAGAGGGCATCACATGAGATGAATAGTTTTTGATAGTGTGAGTAACATTTTCAAAGAAAATAAAACAGAACAATGAGGTTAAGCTGAGATATGCAATGTTGGAGGCGAGATTAGAACAGCTTATTGTGTTAAACTTGGCTATGTTATGCGCCCCCTTAACCCATTGTCGGGTTACATAATTCTCATGCTGCCAGTAGTTAAAATGCTGTCAAAATGACATGTTAATGTTCTTTACAGAGATACTTTAAAAAGATACTTTAAAAAGTATTTTAGTATCTAAAATAAATAAATACATAAATAATAAATAAATAAAACAACTGGTAAGGTTTCCAAACTCTTAGTTTTTGCACACTTCCTGGGAAAGCAGGCTGCAAGAAAGCGCACAAACCTCCAATATGGCAGCCAGACGTAAATCTGCATCCCGCCCTCATCTGCCCCCTCAACCTCGCCAATCAAAAGCTGCTAAACCGCAGTCTTCCGGGTCGTTGATTTACTGCGCACCGGCTCCTCTGTGCTCTAGTGGCAGCCGAGGAGCAATGGTGCTCGGAGCGTCCAGAGACGTCGGTGTTTCGGGTTTCTCGGAGGAGCAAATGAAATGCCGGGGAATATGAGCAAAGAGGATGCCCCCAGTCGGAGCACTTGTTTGACCTTCACAATTGACAACATCCTCAACCTGAGGCCGCAAGAAAGTGGAGATTTGGACTGTTCAAACGGGCAGAAAGACGGTGGATGTAAGAATGTTTTGGAGGAGCGATGTGAGGATGTGTGGGACGTCCGAAGGACAGAGGAGACAGGTAACTCTGACGGATATACCCAAATACCATATCTGTAAATTTCATAGAATTAAAGGGAAATTTTAGGCTAATTAATCTGTTTAGAAGCACAACGATAAAGATCAAAATATATGTATATTTTTAAAAAACGCTCAAAGTTCAAATTATTAGTGCGAAAATGCAGAAGCGCTTACAGGACGCCGGTTTGTGTCTGCTTTACTGGAATGTTGCTCAGCTTGTCCGCAGGTGTTTTTACGTTTGCCTTTACCGCTGCACCAAAGCACATCTTGTCGCTCCGTTCACAGTGAAGCCCAGAGTTCAGCGCGGGGGAAACACACCGCCGCTCACCGCTGGATCCTGTCCGCAAAATGAGTGCAGCGCTGAGGAGCCACAGCAGCAGCACCACCACCAACAACAGCAGCAGCAGACTGTGGACTCCAAAGCCATGGTAAAGAAGAAAACGCGCACCATCTTCTCCAAGCGACAGATATTTCAACTCGAGGCGACTTTTGACATGAAGCGCTATCTGAGCAGCTCGGAGAGAGCGTGCCTCGCGAGCTCCCTGCAGCTCACGGAGACCCAGGTGAAAATCTGGTTCCAGAACCGCCGCAACAAGCTCAAGAGACAGCTGTCCACGGACATGGAGGGGCCGCTGGCCGCCGATCACTTTACAGAGGCAGGAAAAAACGTGCAATTACCAACTTTTTACAAAGACAGCAGCGTGCTGGGCGGATGTTTGTTACCCATACCGTTCCCTGTCGTGTACCCGACGGCAAACGCCGCGCCTTACATTTACTTCTCTAACACTGGCAAATACTTTGGCCTCTTTGATGCAGACTGTTGAGTTGTCTCTTGGGTGCGTGGACACTCCGACTTACAGTCAGCCCAAATTTTTTTGCATGATACGTCTGATCCTTTTTTCATTTGTAACTTTTTTTTTTAAATGAGTTGTCAACATATCAACTAATTCAACGTGCATGCGCCACTTTTTGGTTTATCACTATTATTATTGTTATTGTTATTATTATTATTATTATTACTGAATTTTATATACAGAGTTTATCATCTTGAATTGTGCATGCGTTCAAATCCTCGGAGCAGTTTTCCTTTGCGCAGTAATGTCATCTGAAAGAATGTACCATACGTTAAACTCCTGATGCTGCATCAGCCTTACTACCCTGCAATAATACTTCCTGTTTGTGTGTGTTCATTGTTTTTCCTGTGGAGCAACACTTGGTTTGTATTTATATGGCCTTATCATTGTTTAGTTTTTTTTTAAAAAACAACTTTTATCTTTTGTTTTCACTTTTATAAGACTGTTAAACTGTGAAGACGGTTATTCTACGACGATCATATTTTGCAATAAAACGTGTAACATTTGCAGTTTTAAATGTGTGTTGACTTGTATCAGGAACAGCAACAAAAAAAACCCCAAAACAAACAACAACAAAAAAACAACAGATAACACCAAAACACGCCCAGATTGCATTTTTAATAATCCTTTATTTATTTATTAACTCCTACTCCTACTTTTTCTTTCACTTTGTAAGAGTCGTTTCGCATTATTTATTCAGCGTTAGATCGTATTTAAAGATTATAGTAGACTGTCAGGACTTTATCACTGCAGGGAGAAAAATAAAGTTCAATAACGGAGAGCTGAGAAATCCGGGGCACACTATTTGCTTTACAGTGAACGAATTGTAAATTTAGTAGTTAAACCAACTTATGATTATACATTTTGAACCGAATTAACTAATGTACCACAAAAAAAGAGAAAAGAATCGTCTGTTTTTCTTGCTCATTAAGTAAATTAGCTGGTTAGTGTTTCCTTTTGCTATCCCTAATATTAAAAGCAGAGACCATAAGCTGAATAATGATCACCAGTTATCACCTCTGTGTTGACGTGCTGCTAAAAGTATTTTAAAATCTGCAGAAGCTTTACAGTCTTTGTTAGTGCCTTCTTGTGTGTTCACTCCCCCTGTTATACCGCAGAGCTGTCAGGAAGCTCATTTTGTCTCTCAGAAATGTGTTTAAACAGATGACAACTTCTTGGTGTGTAATTAAAAGCTCTGTAACAACTCTCCATTGAAAAATCCAAATCCTAAATATATAAAAAATATTTATATAAATTGAATGATTTATTAGTTAGAAGAAAATTTAAAGTTGTAGAAGCCTGTCAACCTTCAAATAAATTGTCTTAATTTAGACTGATATGCTACAGAAAGTAACCAAGGAAGAGAAGTTAATTTAGAAAGCATTTTCCAGAGACAAAGTTGAACAGTGTTTGACACCAAATATAAATAAATAAATGCCTGTAATAGCTGTAATGCAGATTTTGTAAATTCTGAAGTTAAGCGATGAATGAATATTATCAAATTCATATCTGAATAATCACTTTCAGCATAAGACACAGTATTAGCAAATATTACAAATCGCTGAGATGAGTAAAGACCTGTTTCTGGTAAGAATAAGCAACTTTTTCTGTTCAGTTTCAGCGAAAAAAAAGAGGAAACAAAAAGAGAATATTCAAAATGCTCACAGAGATATCTTATGTGTTGAGCCTATTTTCTTTCGTTTTATTATTCTGAAATTAATTTACCATCAAATGAAAACACTGAATTAGAAAAAACAATTGCAAACAACGTAAGTAAGCATATAAAAATTGCAGGATTTTTTATTAAACCAAAGAGTTGTTTATTTAAAAAAAAAAACCTTAAAAAGTTTACTTAGAAAATCTATCTATCTATCTATCTATCTATCTATCTATCTATCTATCTATCTATCTATCTATCTATCTATCTATCTATCTATCTATCTATCTATCTATC